GTACTCCTAATTTTCACAATTTTTAGACAACACTTGACATTTTTGTTATAGAACAATCTTTAATATTTTTGTAATTTATCCACTTCAACTCTACCCCTTATAGAGAGAGAGAGAGAGACAGGTTTCATAATGAAAGCATAAAGCTATGTTTCCCTTTTTCAGTAAAATGCTTGTAAAAAAGAAACTTTAGATTTCATCAATAACAAGTTGCTTCCCATTTCACAAAACCATCATTTCACGTGGAGATAAATACATTTGTTTCACTCTACCTTGTTTTGACAATGAAACTCGGATTGGTTCATCAACACTAAAACCAGAGTGTTTTTGTGTTTGTTGGCAATCACCAGTCAGAAAGGCGTATCTGCAACCAGCTTGAAGGAACTCATGTCTTGCCTTCTGAGACCCGAACCCACCTCACCCAGTTCTGTGGTCAGTCAGAGACGAAGCGACTGACCTCTTGTAAGACTGTATGGGATAGTTTAATGTGGACACTAGTCAGTAATTAGTGTTATGTGTCTAGTCTTTCCTTTGGTGCGGGAATGAATTCTTCTACCAGTCAGGTTTGCAATGTGTGTGTGTGTGTGTGTGTGTAACTGTTTATACCCACATGGAAAAGATGATTGTAAAAGATGTCAATTACAGAGATAACTAAATCTAATAGACAATTATCAGCTGATACAATATTCATCTCTGTCTGTGCTGTCAATCAAGGGGCAGTCGATGTGTGTTCCTGGTGTTGTTGATAATGATGATGATGATGATGGTGATTTTTTTTCCTGAATGATGTGTGTCTACTTAAATCGCCAGTAGAAAGAAGATTAGAACGAAATAACTGACACTTCTACTTCTTCTTATCTCATTCCTTCTTCTCCTCTTTTTGCTCTACGTCTCTATTGATGTTTCTTCCTTTTTCTTCCTTCCTTAAATGTGAATACTTTTCCAGCAAAGAAGAAGAAGGGGAGAAAGACTGTAACCTATAAACCACTTAAATGTTGTTTATATTACCTAAATCGAATAGCCTACTGAATTTGATAAATTTGATTGAAATCCACAGATCAGTTTATGAATAGCAATTTTATACAGTTTGGCGAGGTGAAATATTTCTCCACAAAGCTTCCTATCGAAATCAAGATTATTCAGAACACACACTATGTGATCTACTTGTCAATCAGGAAAGCAGGCATAACATTATGGTACTAATTACTACTCATATCAATCTGTTAGTAGTACATAGCATTAGGCGTATATCTTTTGTCTTTGTTGATCAACAGTCTAATCACATAATGGGTGATCCAAATAATCACAGTTCCCAAAGCATATACTTGGCTCTTCTTAACTGCCTAGAAAATATCATCTTATGAACTAAGATTTATTTTCAAGTATTGGTTTTGTAGAGATTTTGTTTGTTTGTTTGATTGGTTGAAGGATTTCATCATCAGCTGACATTAGTTAGAGGAATTTTGGAGACCACCTGGGGGGGTACTGGATAACTATTTCGTCAGCCTAGTTTGGTACTTTTCAGCAATACGCACCCACCACAACAGGGTTCGAACTCAAGATCTCCTAGTTACAAGGCGAGCTAGCTCGTAGGTCATTAAGATTTATTGACACAGCAGCTATCTGCCCCCCCCTCCCTCCTCCTAGTTCTATTCTATCAGTATTATTAATCAATCATTTATCTTTCTATGCCAGACCAATTTTCATTCACTACACATATATACATAACAGAATAAATTAAATAAACATTCCTTGTTTTTTGTTACCTTAATTATCCACCTTTACACGTTTAAAATTATATCTGTTACAAAGGGAAAACAAATCACTGATAGGATTTTTTAATCAGGGGGTAATGGTGCATGCGTGTCTAAATCCAGTTCAGATTTAATGGTTTGCAAAAACAATTCTCAACATTGGTTATACACTAATGATAACTGCTGAGCATAAGAAGCATTTTTAGATTTTTGAAAATGCATGAAAAACAAAACGATGTTGTTGCTTCTTTATACAAACGCACTACACTATTCACTGTTAACAGATTTATCAAAGTGCGAATCTATAACATTTTAGTTAAAAGGTGAACACCCATCGGAGTAAACGAAATAGTTCGCTTAGGTCTTCTTCTTCGATTGACTGACCGACTGACTGACTGACTGACTAACTGAGTTTCACGATAGGACTTTGCATTAAAAGAGGAATAGTTCTAGATGCTCTGATTGGACACTAGTCAGTAACTAGAGTGATGTGTCTAGTCCTTCGTTTGGTGCAGACTGAATTCTGCTAGTTAGGTTTGCAATATGATCACCATTCACGGTGCAATGTGAATTGTCCATAAGAGATGGTTATGAGGTGACTGTAGCACTGGGTGACACGGGTTCGAGTTTCAGAAAAGAATTCAGTTCCTTGAAGGTTGCAGATATGCCTTGCTTACTAGTGCCAAGTAGCAAGAAACCTATCTCAAAGGCTTCCTGTAGCCGTTTGCCTCCAACCATCTGCCAAAACTTCAAGATTTGAAAATTCTGTAGAACTACAACGATCAGAAATGTTAGGTTAGAAGAATAACACCAGAGGAAAACATGATGACTGTATAGATCTAAGGGGTTACAAACAGTTATTCAGTCTGCATCACTGAAAACGGTGGTTGAAAACCATATCCATATCGGGTCCCAGCGGCACAATGGTCTACGAGCTTGCCTTGTAATCAGAAGGTCCTCGGTTTGAACCAAAGTGGGCGCGTACTGATGAAGACTTCCAAACTAGGACGAAACGGCTGTCCAGTACTTCCAGTGGTTCTCTGACTGTTGTCACCTCATGATGAAGTCCTCCAACCAATCAAACAAAAATTTCTACAAAACCAATACTTGAAAATTATTCGGATGCTCACTAGTGACTGGCCCTATTCAGACAGTGACCTGAGGTTCTGGTGAGAAGCCGTGACCGGTAGGGTACAGCAGGTTGAAGATGAGGCAGTAACTCATCGAAGAAGACATTTTGAAGTGGTCGCGCCATGTTGTGAATTGGCAGAAGTTAGAATTCAAGGACCATTGAATCAGGTCCGAGTGACCCAATGGTCAACGAGCTCGCTTGCCTTGTAACCAGAAGCTCCTGGGTTCGAACCCCAGTGGGTGCGCACTGATGAAGAGTCTCAAACTAGGACGAAAAAGATGTTCAGTACTCCCAGGTTTTCCAATGGTTCTGTAACTAATATCAGCTCACGATGAAATCCTCCATACCAATAAAAGTCTCGAACCACTTGGGTATTAGTATCCTGAGGACCCTAACAAGACAGTCTACTAGTCAAACTCTACATGGGTTCAAACTAACAATCACAGACTTGATTCCAGGCTTGGGCTTGACTATTACAAACTCTTTTGAAACCTCCTACGATGTCAGGTAGTATGGCTCGTTGAGGAAAACGCGGGTTCAACATGCACAACACTTGTCCTAACCATCTCAATCGATCCACCTTCATAACTTCTTCGACCATCCTTAACTAACCTCAATATTACTCATCATACTATACCACTTAAAACGAGAGGTAGGTCGGAAACATCTGTGGTCAAAGACAACTGGTCTTTCATAGTTTTTTTTCACTTTCAATGGTCATATCTCACAGCATACCTTCTAACAAGAACACACTCTTAAGCTAACGTATGAAAAAGAAGGTATATCAAATATTACCTAAATTCTTGAGAAAGCACAAAACTCCAAAGAATATCATTCACCGAAATAGACACCAGCATAAAATGTCTTAGAAAAAGTACTCTAAAAACATCTCCCACGAAAGCTGTTATACTAACACACACACATTAAACATATCAAGCAATACCACAAGAGTAATCAAGGCATGCATGTATGCAACAACATACACTAACCACTTCATTTGAGAAAGATCGAATTCCTAAGGATCTAGAAACCAGGATTTAACAGAAGTAAATAAAAGCCCTTTATTCGATCAACCAGAAACCAAAAGAAACCAGAAAAGAAAATTCTCTTCGCTGCAACTGTCATTTCATAATTCCAATTATCCAATGTGTAAATTCTGCTTTATTATTATTAGTTTGATTAACTCTGCTGGCATTAAATAGCGAAACGTCAGTAAGAAAAATTAATCATAACATCATTCTTGAATTGAATTCTTGATTTTCCCGTCGATTGATTGGACCGAAGTGCTCGGTCTCAGGTTGACATGTCGGCTTCTTGTGCAGATGCTTCGACGATGTCTGGGGATTTGATTTGTATACAATTGGTGGATGGTGGCTAGCAGTGGAATCCAGGATGCGCATTTCGTCCTATTTGAGACTCGTCAGCTGGATGTACCTGCATTTCTCAGTGAGTGATGATGTTCCCACCGAGGCTCGAACCCAGTGCCCATAGTTTCAAACGCCAAAGCGTTATCCACTAGACCACTTGGGCCACGAGAGCCACCTCTTGTGCAACGTGTCATATTAATTATTGAATTGAATTCTTGATTTTCCCGTCGATTGATTGGACCGAAGTGCTCGGTCTCAGGTTGACATGTCGGCTTCTTCCACTGCTAGCCACCATCCACCAATTGTATATAACATCATTCTATTTTTCATTCATTGTGTATGTATCTATGCAGAGTGGGATGGGGGGGAGAAGAACTCACAAGTTATAATTCATGCTCTCACAGTGTGAACAGGCCATTCACAGACGATCTCTAATCACACTGTACTCGTATGAAAATTGCAATATTCTCAACAAACAGGTAATAACTTCTGCTCGTTGAACAAGAGGCAACTCTCCAGTGGCCCAAGTGGTCTAGTGGATAATGTTAGCTTTGGCATTTGAAACGATCCGTGCTGGATTCGAGATCCAAAGGGGAACATCATCACTCAATGAGGGATGGAGTTGATAAATTCCACACTTAATGAATTGAGCATCTTTAATTCCACAACCAAATTACATATGATATCCAAATCAATAAAATTGAGATGATAATAATAATAAAAAAAGAAAATCTGTTATCAAAGACTTACTTTTGAGTAAAGTCCATATTATTTAAATTGATAACACTGAATTGAGGATTAGGTTCGAAGAGTACACGTTCTAAGATCATTGGTGTTGTAGTCAGATTTTGAATTTGTGTCTCCATAAGTAAACTATGATCAATCTAAATAAGAAACAATTATGAATAAGTCAAGTAGAAATGATGTTTGTTTGGTTGAAGGAGAAATACAGAACATTAGTAAATGTAAATGACAGTGTCTCAAATTGAATAGAATTGAGCTTCATTCATGAGGAACAACTGCAAAACCTACTCTGATCGCACACTACCTACTAACTAGTGTAATGCGTTTAGTCCTTCGTGTTGGTACAAATCCCATTGGGCCATATCGTTGACATTGTCATTGATAGGCACTTGATGTCATGCAACAAATTTGCTAAAGGAATTTTGTGAGCAACCACTCTACCCGCAGCTACAACCTTGTGTCTCCTCAGGAAAAACAAGAAGTATTTTCAGAAGACATTATGCACGTACGTCTAAGTATAAAAATTCCACTATACCATATTTCAGGGCACGTACTTTATGTGATGAAAATAGTGTCAGGCATGAACTAACCAACCTTTGCACTACTAAATAAACCATTTCTTCCACCCTTACACCATCAAACTTAATTCTTATTGTATTTCTTATATTTATAATCCTCTCAATTTTTTGCTTTTATTTATTTTTCATAAGTGTGAACATCATTTAAACTGTGTGGATAACTGTTAATTTTGTATTTCCCCTCACTAACTATATCAACAGAACATAAGATCCAATAATCTATAACATGCTAAAGTTTCCAAACTGAATCGACAATACTGTTTGAAACAAACTCACTGTTATTATTATTATTATAATTAATACTCTCGATTCGTGCTTCGTATATTTTGACTTTATATCGTAGACGTGGACAAATTCCTCTGGTTAATTTTGTTTTAATTTTTAATTTCATTTACATTTTAAGTAAATCAGATGCGATATTGTGACAAATGCTGAGAATTCCATTCTGTATTATAAGTGCTGTTTTTGGAATAAAGTGGTTTATTATTATTATTAATTCTATCAGTCATATGGACAATGTAGTCACTACCCTAGGTGACTTGCCATCAAGGTGCGCTTTGAACTGTTGTCTCTGACTGCAGCACTTAGTAACAAAGGGTTAAGTCTTAGAGGGGGCGGAGCATGAGCTCATTCAAGACTGCAGATAAGCCTTGCTGTCTGGTGACTGCCAACAAGCATAAAAACTACGCGTCAGGCTGGGCTTCCTACCGATTACCTCCAACCATCTGATAACACCTGAAAATCATATTATGTTTTAGAATATTCTGGGAATTGCCCATTTAAATGTATAAGCTTCAGGTGAATTTGAGGCATCGCATCGATACTGAAGATAAGATAACCAGTCAGAAAGGATATAATCGACAAGAAACTCTGAGAAAGAACCGAATTCGCAACCTAGCACTTGAAAAAAATAATACAGAGTGAAGTGGAAATGCATCACACATACATCACATACACGCTTAGGAGATTTTCGAATGACATCACACATCAAATCATCGCTCGAGTGAAACCTAAGTGGGTAATACGCAGTTTAAGAATGACATGGAGGAGATGGTGTGACACGGAGATAAGAGACTATGGGTAATCACAGGGCCAACTAAAGAGGACCCTATGTTCCACTCGGAAAACGAGGAATCAATGATATGTAATGATAATGATAATAATAATAATAATGTCAACTGTCTATACTTTGAATTCTGTAGAACCAAATCTATCTTTTTTTATCAGAGTTGTACTCAGAAAGCGACTGGAAATTGGTCACCTCTACAATTCTGATGTGAAATAAAGGGATTCATTTGCGGTTCATATATATATATCGTAGGTAGGACACGGCAGGACTGTCAGACAACGAGAAGAAACATAAAGAAAAATTTTAAAAAAAGTAGGTTTTTAGTGACCATCAGATTGACAGATTAATGGAAAGAAATTTTGAAAAAGAAAAAATGCAAAAGCAAAATCCAAAAAACCAAACGAACAGCTGTTTTTTAAATTATTAAAGATTCTCATAGTGTAATTTAAGACGACACACCTCTAAACTCACACCCATACATACATATATGTACGCGTGAACAACTGGATCTCTCATTCGACTTTTCTCTGAGAGATGCACATCTTCTATACAAATATAAACCAGTTGTACAATCATTCATAACCGTAATAATAATGATATTAGTAATTCTATTAATAACAGAGATGAAACACTAGAACGATTTGTGATAACAAGATGAATGTAAGAGATGGCGCAATTAAACAAATAAATCTTCAGATAGACGTCATAGATAAAGGCTAAGACAAGACAAATAATCTAAGCAAATAAATAATGCTAGATTGTAACAGCGGAGGGAGGGGTACACCATCCACTACATAACACCAATGAAAATGCAATTAGATAAACAGCAAGCAATGAGGAAACAGGCATAAATTAAACCCACACAAAAAACTTGGAGGATCTGGACTTCACCGATGATATAAGTATCTGATTTCCCATAAAATGGTAGATATGCAAGTAAAAAGCAACAAGTTAGCAGAAGAATCATCAAAGATAGGAAAGGACTTCAGGTGAACACAGAGAAAACAGAGGTAGGTGATTAAGATTCCTAGCCAACACCAACAGCTACAACAATAACAGACAACAATCAGCCAGCATAAATGGGATGAACCTGAAGGAAACAACCTCCTTTACCTACCTGGGAAGTATCGTTTCGACTACAGGCGGAACTGACGAGGATATCAAAGCGAAGATTAAGAAAGCGAGACAAGTTTTCATTACTCTCAAATCTGTGTGGAGGTCAACAGCACACAGCATCAAAAAAAGATCCAGATTTTCAACTCCGATGTGAAGTCAGTCAGTGCTAACTATACGGATCAGAGAATTGGCCAGCGCGTCATAAAGAGCACCTCAAACTGCAGACCTTCATCAACAGCTGTCTTCGCTCAATACTCAAGATCAGATGACCGGCTAGAAAAGTTTAGCCACAGGGTGGGATCTCTGGGAGCGAACCAACCAACCAGAAACCGATTGTGAAACATAGGGGCAGGAAGAAATGGAGATGGATTGGCCATACGCTGAGGGAACCATCAAGTGACATCACTAGACAAGCCATTGCTACAGTCGAACCCGAAAGGGAAGCGGCAGGTTGGTCGTCAGTGCGAGGGAGACTTGGAGGAGGTGGTGGGGAGATGAGATGAAAGCGTGTGGGCAGACTTGGAGCCAGGTGAAAACTCTAGCAGAAAACCGAACGCGATGAAGACGCGCAGCTGAAGCCCTACGTTCCTTTGGAATGAAAGGAAATAATAATAATAAAACAAGGAAATAACAGTCATTCAGCTGTTGAATGTGTTGTTCCTAATGTGTATTTCGAAATTCGTCTTGTCTGGGAGTAGTTACGCTACTAATTGTGAGTTTATGGTAAATGAGTGAAAAAAAACCTCAAGAATTATTTCCGGTCAACGGTGAGATTATTAAGATTCCGATTAGGGATTAAAATGCAATAATAATAATAATAAAATAAACAATAAAATAACATATTAAAAAAACATAGTAGGATAATGATTAACGAGTAAATTGATGTTTTGTGCAATGTGACTGACTGACTGACTAGTTTCAATGCATAATTTTCAAATCACATGTGAGGCAGTTCAAGTAGCCACATTCCATGTATAAAACAAAGCAAGAGAAGTTAGTAAAAAGAAATTTCAACACAGACAGTAAACAGAGATATGCGGCAAAAAGAATAGCAATATGCAAGAACAAAAGAATTTTATTGGGTATTATAAGTCACAAGGAATGGGGCATCTGCGCCATTGAGAACGATCACTTTGAGCCATATCAGCAACTATATACAGCAATTGGTTCATAGGATCCTGAGGACCCCAACAAATCCGGAAGTCTACACCTGCCTACTTGGCTGGTTGGCTTAAACTAACTGTTGTGGATTTGTTTCAATGACTGATGAAGTCATGTTTTGGTTTGACTACCACTGGCTCTTTTCCAACCTGATCCATCCTATGTCAGCTAACATTGCCCATCTAGGAAGGCGACGGCTAGGCATACGTAACACATGTCCTAACCATCTAAATCGATTTAGCTTCACAGCCTCGTCTATTGATTTCGCCTCCTTACCTAGCACTTGACCAAAGTCTAACCTTAATATTTCTAACCTTATTATTATACCACGTAACACAAGAGATATTACGCAGACACCCAGGATCAAAGACAGCTAGCCAGGCTTTTCATATCTTTCACTTTCAGTGGCCAGGTCTCACAGCTATAAAGGATGACGCGCAGAGAACTGTCGTTGTGCAGTACACACGCCTTTTGGTCGACAGTCATCAGAATGTCATGTCTACTAAGCCAGGACCGACGTAAACTGATAAATGTGAAACGAAACTTCTGTATCCGTGCTGAGGTTATTTCGTCAGCGATTTAAAACTTAGTAATATCAGAATAGACAGGAAGTTGAGATTAAAAAAACTTAGTGGCGTAAACGGGGAAGTTAGGATAAGAAAAGTATTAGAATAATCACGGAATATTCACGGAATTGACCGTTAATTATGACCATGATACCAACAAAGGTTGAACGTATTTTTTTTAGGTACATAGAGTGGGTTTGAACTTTCGGATCGGCATATGTTCAGCTGAACCCAGATGCCTTAAATCTCACTAATTTTTAGAAGTTTAACTGAGTCTTTACGAGTGGAACTAAATGCTCCAAGTTCACAAGATGCTCTGTTACTCAGCTATATATGCGCCTGCATCATCTCTATGTTAATTAAACTGGATAGTGTTCCTGTACTTGGCTCTTCTTGAAGAAATGAAGTGGTATAGGCATGTTGAAGTAGCCCAATGAGACAGCTTTTCTTTCAACAAAATATCACCCGTTAGGTGGCGGTGAAGTATGTTTTCCTGAGACATTTGGAAGGCCCAAACAGGAGGCGGTTGCTCGATCTCGAGTTTAAAAGTGATAAGAAAGTAGACAGTTTTCGAAATCTCTTTTATCCACAGCTATACAAAGAGCAATAGTCTGATAACACTTCACAATAGCAGCATTCAAGAGTGTTTG